TATTATTTGAAAAGCAGATATCAGTGCAGAAAGTCCACCAGCAAACGTCAAACTGTTACATGCATACACTAAAAATCTCATAGCCGTATCCTTTTCACATCATTTTCAGGCACATTTACGTCGTTTCCGTTCCCTTTTACTGAAGTCACTGTTTGCTTGGGCACCTGCAGGTAGAAAATAATATCTCGGATCATTTCGTGTCACCTTTAAAGTTTTCGAAGAGAAGGATATCTGACGTCTGGTAGTTAACTTTGAGTTATCCGCTGATAAGACGGGAAGACATGTAACTTGAAAGTCAAAATACAAATATCTTTTTGGACATTTCTCCTAATTGGAATCAAGTGATTTCACTAAAAATTGCATAACCTGGGAAATCATTTTACGAACCAGCAAAATATGCATAGTTATGCAGTTGCATCGACCATATATCCAGGGTACAAACTTAACCGATCATACTCTAACCAACCACCACCTGAAATAAATTTTGATGTACCCATTGCACAAATGGATAATTTTTAATGGGACAACGCTGATGCTATTTTAGACCATTCAACAAAATAAAGCTTGCTTGAATGGTGAGCTTACATTTTCATTTGGAACAACAGCATATCTCTCTGTTGGTGAAACCCAAGATTTTTCAGCTGAACAGAAGTTTTGAGAAAATATCAGATATACAGTATCATTTAATTTTGTGAAAGAAAAGATTATGAAGAAGTAAAGAGAGAGAGAGAGAGAGAGGAAGAGGGAGAGGGAGAGGGAGAGGGAGGGAGGGAGATGGGGAAGGCGAAGCAGATGCAAACCTGCTGATGGGTCAAAAGTCGAAGACCCGATTTGTTGTCCACTTGATCCATCAACACTTAATGCTTCTATTATCCTTGGGACATTCCTTCACACCTCACGAACATCAGTAAGTTTAATTTTGGAATTACCATAGCATGAAATTGTGTTAGTTCACTAAAGCAGAATGTTGAAAATAGAGAACAGATGTTATTATCCACGGCGCCACTTTAACCTATTAAAATATAGCACTACAGTTAATTCCTACCTGGAGATTACAGTATTTAGATTATATGAGGGTGCAAAATTGTTTACATTGAGGACTTCATTATGTGAGTATTATTACATATGATATGAGGGTGCCAAATTGTTTATATTGAGAACTTCATTATGTGATATTATTACAATGAAAATAGATAGTCATTCAACTAGGAAAACCATCATAAAAGTTTGATAAGCCCTGCTACAAATAAACAACTTGCAATATACCAGGTGCACAATTTAGACAGAAAAGTTATTTATGTGATGACGCTAACCCTGAAACACAACTCAAGTTTTGCACAGCTCTAAGGAGATGAACTATGAAGCAAAAAAATGAAAGGAAGAAAACTTAATACACGGATTGCTTACTTACTTCTCGAAAAATGTGATGGAAGGGTATGCACGGATTGCAAGGTTCTTGTTAGAATTAGTTCATGCAGAGTGTCCCACATTGGTATAGAAGGCTTTAGATATATGTAAATATTGCAGTTAGAATTAGTTCATGCAGAGTGTCCCACATTGGTATAGAAGGCTTTAGATATATGTAAATATTGCAGTTAGAATTAGTTCATGCAGAGTGTCCCACATTGGTATAGAAGGCTTTAGATATATGTAAATATTGCAGTTAGAATTAGTTCATGCAGAGTGTCCCACATTGGTATAGAAGGCTTTAGATATATGTAAATATTGCATATAAGTAGGACTATTGTAAAACACTTAACGTACATCAATAATATATTTTTTTTCCGTGCTTCCTCACATGGTACCAGAGCAACTAGTGAGAAATCCCCGTTCTGCGGTAACCAGCAAGTCCGGGACAGTCACCGTGCCCTTTTTTTGGTGAATTTCAAGTTGTTTTTGTGTGACCTCTTCTCTAGTGGGGTTTTTATTGAAAAGTAACACCACCAGCAGGTGCAGAATTCACAAGCAACCAAACACTGAAAAACCAAACCGGAACAACCTTAGTCACGCGCCCTCATGCGCTTGAAGAAGCTCTAACGCCAGCAGCGTGTCAGACCCATACGCCGGCGTGTGACACTTGCTCTGGCCATTTTTTGAAAAAATATCAAATTGTACCAATATCAACCCCTTTTCTTCCATTTACTCCTATTCCAAGGCAAAAAGGATTTTCTAAATCATAGAACAATAATGAAATATACAACCAACCAATATTTATCAAATTGGAAGAAGAGTCCGAAGAAATCGTCCGAGCCTCTTATTTTGATTTTCCGAACCGAGAGATCCATGAATCGGGGTCGGGCTTGACAAGAAAAATTTGAGTCGTGGGTACAGGACCATTTACATGTAAGACCTATTGCTCATGCAAATTAGGATCCTTATTTTGGTCAGACAATTGTCTCATCTAGTAATTCCGACCCTACCCATATTGTTTTCTTTTTATTCCGAGCACTTTGAGATTTTTCCTGTGACTACACTAATATTTTCTAGCAACTGCAGTAATTTTTCTAGCAACTACAGTAATTTTTCCAGCGAGTTACAGTTGATTCTTTCTGTTATTTGGTGATAATTTTGCTAGGCCGCTCTTCAATCCAATGATGTCTTTAGAATTTGATGTTTTTGGGTCTAAAAACATGGGTCCTGAAAATTCTAGTGTTATAATTACCTCGGAACCTTTAATGGGAAATTCAAACTACTTAGCTTGGGTTTCGTCTATCAAGTTGTGGTATAAAGCTCAAGCTGTTCAAGATCATTTAATCAAAAAGTCTAGCGAAGGAAATGAAAAGGCCAAAGCACTTTGGAAGAAAACCGATGCTCAATTATGTAGTATCGTATGGCAATCTATTGATTCCAAGTTGATACCCTTGTTTCGTCCATTCCAGACATGTTATTAGTTTGGGAAAAGGCTCGCACTTTATACACTAATGACATATCTCGTTTCTATGATGTGATATCGCGGATGACAAATTTAAAGAAACAGGAATTAGATATGTCTACTTACTTGTGACAAGTACGGGCAGTCATGGAGGAATTTGAGAAGTTGATGCAAGTTTCTACTAGTGTTGAAAAGCAACAAGAGCAATGACAGAAGATGTTTCTAGTTCTTACCCTCGCTGGACTTCCTAATAACCTTGATTCATTACGTGACCAAATTTTGGCTAGTCCGGCTGTCCCCACAGTTGATGAATTATTCTCTCGATTACTTCGCCCTGCTGCAATGCCCAGTCATACAGTGATCTCATCACAGATAGCTAACTCCTCTGTTCTCGCATCCTAGTGGAAAATCGAGCACCTCAGACTAATGTCTACTAGTGTTGAAAAGCAACAAGAGCAATGATAGAAGATGTTTCTAGTTCTTATCCTCGCTGGACTTCCTAATGACCTTGATTCATTACATGACCAAATTTTGGCTAGTCCGGCTGTCCCCACAATTGATGAATTATTCTCTCGATTACTTCGCCCTGTTGCAATGCCCAGTCATACAGTGATCTCATCACAGATAGCTAACTCCTCTGTTCTCGCATCCTAGTGGAAAATCGAGCACCTCAGACTATGGAGAATGGACGAGGAGGAGGTCATTTTTGAAGAACTCGACCAAAGTGTTCTTATTGTAACATGCTTGGGCACACTCGTGAGGTGTGTTACTCTTTGCATGGTCGACCATCTAGAAATGCTCATATTGCTCAGACTGAGACTGCAGGTAACCAGGGGTTTTCTTTATCTGAAGGGGAGAATAATGAGTTCCTTCAGTATCAAGCAACTAAGCAGACGTCTCCATAAGTAGCCTCTATCACAAAGACTGATACTTCTGTGGTAGGTAATTCCTTTGCTTGTGTTTTCCAGTGTACTACTCTTGGACCATGGGTCATGGACTCAGGCGCCTCTGATCATATTTCTAATAATAGGTCACTTTTGTCAATATTGTTTATTCACAATCTCTTCTCAATGTTACTCTAGCCAATGGAGTCCAAACAAAAGCAAAAGGAGTTGGACAAGCTAATCCCCTGTCACTTTAGATTATGTTCTTTATGTCCCTAATTGTCCTTTTAATCTCACATCTCCTAGTCGTGCCCTTCATTGTGGTATATATTTTATTGATGATTCTTTTATTATGCAGGACCGCTATATGGGAAAGTCAATTGGCACAGGGCATGAATTATAAGGCCATTATTACCTTAACTTACGCAATCCCTCTACAGTATGCCCAACTACAGATCATCTAGACCTAATTAACAAACGTTTAGGACATCCAAGTTTATCCAAGCTTCAGAAAATGGTGCCTAGTTTGACTAGCTTATCTAAATTAGTTTGTGAGTCGTGTCAACCTGGGAAACATATTCAAGCTACATTTTCACGTAGTGTTGAGAATCGTGCAACGTCTATTTTTTCTTTAGTTCAGTCTGATATATAGGGTCGTAGAAGAGTCAGTTCAACCTTAGGATTTTGTTATTTTGCTAGTTTCATTGATGATTACTCAAGATGTACTTGAATTTTCCTAATGAAAGATCGTTCTAAGTTCTATATATTCCAAAGTTTTTGTGCTGAAATTAAAACTCAGTTTGGTGTTTCTATTCGCACTTTTCAATTTTCGTAGTGATAATTCCTTAGAATATTTATCCTCTCAATTTCAGCCGTTTATGTCTTCTCAAGGAATTATCCATCAGACATCTTGTCCGTATACTCCTCAACATAATAGGGTAGCAGAGAGAAAGAATAGGCATCTCATTGAAACTGCACGCAGACTTCTCATTCAATCCCATGTTCCGCTGCGTTTTTGGGGCGATGTAGTTCTTACAGTTTGTTACTTAATTAATCGGATGCCTTCATCATCCACTCAGAATCACATTCCACATTCAATATTGTTCCCAAGGTCACCCTTATATTCTCTTCCTCCTTATGTTTTTGGGAGTACATGTTTTGTTCATAACTTAGCTTCTGGAAAAGATAAATTAGCTCATCATGCTCTCAAGTGTATCTTCCTTGGCTATTCTCGGGTACAAAAGGGATATCGTTGCTACTTACCTGATCTTCGTAGGTATCTTATGTCAGCCGATGTCACGTTCTTTGAGTCTCAACCTTACTTTACTTCATCTAATCATCTAGATATATCTAGGGTCTTACTTATACCTACTTGTGAGGAATCTATTGTTCCTCCTCTTACATCCCCATTGACGTCTACAATACCACCACAGCCACTCCTACCTATACCGACTTCTGATGAGTCTGCAGTTGCTCCTCCTACATCTCCAACCATAAGGCCACCACTCTTGACTTATCATCGTCGTCTACATCCAGCATCAGGCCCAGATTACTCACGTCCTGCATCAGCTTCTACACCTACTGCAGACTTGTCTCCTTCTCGTCAACCGATTGCACTTCGAAAATGTGTACGATCCACACTTAATCCTAACCTCCATTACGTTGGTTTAAGTTATAATCGTCTGTTATCACCCCATTATGCTTTTGTATCATCTTTATCCACTATTTCCATTTCTAAGTCTACATGTGAGGCACTATCTCATCCCGGATAGCGCCGGGCGATGATAGACAAGATGTCTGCTTTACATGCGAGTGGTACTTGGGAGCTTGTTCCTCTTCCTTCAGGTAAGTCTACCATTGGTTGTCGTTAGGTTTATGCTGTCAAAGTTGACCCGGATGGCCAAGTTGCCGGCTTAAAGCTCGTCTGATTGCAAAAGGATATACTCAGATATTTGGGCTTAATTATAGTGACATTTTCTCTCCCGTGGCTAAAGTCGCATATGTTCGCCTTTTCCTGTCTATGGTTGTTCGTCATTGGCCTCTTTATTAGTTGGACATTGAGAATGCCTTTCTCCACGGTGATCTTGAGGATGAAGTTTATATGGAGCAACCAACTGGTTTTGTTGCTTA